AAGACAAATTTGATTTGATCAAATTCAAATTGGCCTAATATTTGATTTGATTTGAGTTTGAGGAACTCTAGTAGCTATATTAACATTAACAACATTAATATTAATATTAACATTAACATTAACATTAACATTAAGGTTAGGTTAGAGTTAGGGTTTAGAGTTAGAGTAGGGTAAAATTGCGAGAGGAGCATTTTTGCTTAGTTACACAATAGGGATACCCTAGTAAAATTTTGAGTTATTATAGAATTATTGCTATATAAACTTTTTCAAATATTTAAATACTCAACAAAAAAAAAATTCTTTATATGAGTGTCGCCAAGAGAAAACCTGTCATCAGACTTTCAATTATATTTTGTATACAGTCGGCCATCTATGAAGAATCTATTATTATGATAGATTTTTCCATAGACGGCTAACTGTATACAAAAATATCACTCATATGATGCTTTTTTGATCTTAAAAAGAAAATTCAATTTAATTTTAGCAAAAAAAGTCTAATACTAACATCAAACAAGTAGCAGCAAATAATAATACTTTATATTTAATTATATTGTACTATATCGGTAATAATTATTTAAGTGGCAATTATTTCTATAAAAGACTCTTGTCTTTATATTATATTGACTAATACATTTCAATAAAACAATTTTACCTTTACATATACAGTTCGTATTTACTTTGCAACTACATTGTATTTTGCCGATTTTTGATTTCGATTGTGAAGCTTCTCATGCACAACGTCGATGGGCAGATTGCTATTGAGAAATTGATACGCAGACTTTCAAATGCATTTTGAGAGAAGAACGGATATTCTTGTAACTCGGATATTCTTTTAACAAAATATAAGCGATTTAATAAACAAGTTAAAGAATATTATTTATTTTTTATTTTGTTTTTATAAAAAAAGGGATATTGATTAATCGCAATAATTAATTAATTTTGAGAGATCTCTTGCAGTGTAGGTGAGACTATTAATAAAAAGTATAATTAATCAATTGATTTTAGAATAGGTATCACCTATATTGCAAGAGATCCATTTTGAGATATAAATTCCACACGTTAAGTTGAATTCTAATCTCTAACAAATCGAGTCAATTTAGAATTTCGTTAAAATATCTATATTAAGTAGAAATTATCACCCAAATTTATAGAATTCTATTGCGACTTACATCAATTTAGAATCAATATTTGACCTTGTAAATATTTGTTTTGCTGAAAAATCTAACCATTGTTCTTTTTATAAGACTGTAACTTGTAGCAATCAAAATTTTGATCATTAAGAGCATTTTCTATTATTGATGATTGTACTAGAAAACATACTGTGATGTAATTTTTGATAAAGTAATATATTCATGGAAGACATCAATGAGCCAATTTTAATGTTTATTTATATATTATACACAACAATGTGATTAAAATTGGGCATCTTTATAAACCCAAGAATTTTTTTACACAAGTAAAATTTCAAAAACTGATTGGTAGCCTTATTCTTAATAAGCTCTATAAATTTACCATTTAGATTTCAAAATTTTGCTTCTACGTACAATAAGTTAAAGTTTGTATAAATACTGGAATCTATATTCGACAACATCAATTTTCAAATCATTAAAACTTTTTACACAGGATATTTTTTTAAAAAAATTGGCTGGTAACTTTATGGATTTTACGTTCTCTATAAAATTAATGGTCAATTTTTTTTTTTAAGATAAACAGTTTTAGCGATTTAAAAAATTGAAACAAATCATATTATAGTCGACTTCCAGACAACAAGAATTTTAAATAAACTTTATAAATAAATTAAACCCTCGAATATTCTCTGTAAAGTTAACTAACAATAATCGCACCCTTTAACATAACAATTGTTGGACGGAAATCCCTCGTCTTGGTAATTCTTCCGATTCTTGTACAGTTTCAGACTCCTTGGAAAGTTCCATTTCATGATCTAACGATTCTTGTGTTTCTTGCTCATCTTCTGACTCTTTAAGAGATTCTCCCCAGTCATGAATTGGAGAAGTTTGTGTCTCAGAATTTCTTGTAGTTATTATTT